GGGACCTCATCCACCTCCTCCAGCTGTCTGTCCTCTGGGACCTCAATTACCTCCTGAAGCTGTCTGTCTTCTAGGACGCATCCAACTCCTGTAGCTGTCTGTCCTCTGGGACCTCAGTTACCTCCTGAAGCTGTCTGTCTCCGGGAATTCATCTACCTCCTATAGCTGTCCATCCACCAGGACCTCAAATACCTCCTTCAGCTGTCTGTCCTCCGGGACTGCATCCACCTCCTGCAGTTGTCTGTCTGCCAGGACCTCATCCACCTCCTGTAGCTGTCTGTCCCCTGAGACCTCATCCAACTCCTGCAGCCATCTGGCCTCCAGGACCTCAATCACGTTTTGCAACGGTCTGTCTTCTGGGACCTCAATCATGTTTTGCAGCTGTCTGTCCTCCGGGACCTCAATCACCCTGATGAGAACAAATATTAATGTGTGTAATAAATTATATATTGTTTACTAAGAGATGATGGCAAGAAACACTGTGAAGTCCTCAGGCAGAAAACTGCTTAGGGTGTTACAGAATAGTAAGCAATATGTACCAGTCATACACTAGTTAAACCAGTTCTTAAAACACAGAATACATAACCCTGCCCCCATTTCTTCAATTAAAAAATGCTTTTGCCGGGTGCGGTGGCTCACGCCTATAATCCCAGCACTTTGGGAGGCCGAGGCGGGTGGATCACGAGGTCAAGAGATTGAGACCATCCTGGTCAACATGGTGAAACCCCGTCTCTACTAAAAATACAAAAAATTAGCTGGGCATGGTGGCGCGTGCCTATAATCCCAGCTACTCAGGAGGCTGAGGCAGGAGAATTGCCTGAACCCAGGAGGCGGAGGTTGCGGTGAGCCGAGATCGCACCATTGCACTCCAGCCTGGGTAACAAGAGCGAAACTCTGTCTCAAAAAAAAAAAAAAATGCTTTCTAGTTTATCTTTAATTAGCAGTGAACAGACACTAGCTGCTTGCCTACTTTATTCTATAAAAAAACATAGAACGCTTGTTCATTAAAAATAATTACTCGTTCACAAAAAACAAATACGTGGGTCCGAGCCTGCTCTGGGCTTTCAGCTGGGAAATGTTGTCAGTCCCCTACTGCCCACTCTAATTTTCACTTTTGCACTCTATTTTTGTTTCTGTTTCTTAATTCCTTCAGTGCTACCTATGTTAAAATCTCCACAACCAAGCTAGTCTCAACATCAACCCCTGAAGCTGTCTGTCCTCTGGGACATTCACCTCCTGCAGCTGTCTGCCAGGACCTCAGTCACCTTTTGCAACTGTCTGTCCTCTGGGACCTCAATCACATCCTACAGCTGTCTGTCCTCTGGGACTGCATTCACCTCCTGCAGCTGTCTGCCAGGACCTCAATCACCTTTTGCAACTGTCTGTCCTCCGGGACCTCAATCTCCTCCTAAAGCTCTCAGTCCTCCAAGACCTCATCCACTTTCTGCAGCTCTCCGTCCTCTGGGACCTCATCCACCTTCTTCTGCCTCTACTTAGTAGCCTCTGCAACCTCAGCCACCTCCTCTACCCATTTGGCTTCTAGGACCTCAACCACTGCCTCCATATGCACCACTTGGTATGTTTATCTGAACGGTATGAACGGACTTGTAAAACGAATTCATCTTTCCTTTGAGTTAATCAAAATGTCATATATGGTACCACAGGGCTTTGCAGAATAAGGGTAACACTGGCTGAGGATGCGGTCACTTTTCTCGGGTTTCTGAGGGTACACAGTCAGTCACATTATTTCCTCATTATGACCTTGGCAGTGGGTATCTCTTGTAGATGAGGAAAGATACTTTTTTATTTGGGGGGTGGGGGAAGTGTTGCTCTGCCACCCAGGCTGGAGTGCAGTGGCACAACCCTGGCTCACTGCAACCTTTCCCTCCAGGGCTCAGGTGATCCTCCCACCTCAACCTTCAGAGTAGCTGGGACTACAGATGTGCACTACCACACTTGGCTAATTTTCTTTTTATTTTTGTAGAGATTGTGTTTCACCATGTTGCTCAGGCTGGTCTCGAACTCCTGGACTCATGCCATCTGCCCATTTTGGCCTCACAAAGTGCTGAGATTACAGGCATGAGCCACTGTGCCCAGCCAGAGATTATTATAGAAGCCAGTAGTACAAGTTTCGCAGGCATGTATGGAACCTGGGCCATATGGCCAGCTCCGTGAGGAATAAGACCTGTCCCTGACTTGCAGGGCATCCTGTGTCCTGCAGCAGAGAGATCCACACTGACGTGCACAGAGCTTCTGACCACCCCTAGTGGAAATACAAGTGAAGGGACCCAGGGTACAGAAGGAGGAGACAGAATCTCCTGGAAATAAACAGGAGGCTGTGGAAGAGAAGGATGAAGCAGGGAGGTATCACATGGAAGTTTGTTGAATTCAGGTGGAGCTGGAAGGTCTTTCCTGGCGGGGCAGGCAGTGTGAGCAGGAGTGTGGAGGTTGCATGAGGGCCACTCAGATGGCACAGTGCGCACAGGGAATTATCCTCCCCAGCACTTCCTTGTTGCCCTACAGACTTTAGTCCATTATCTCTAGGAAAGACGATTCTTTCCCTGGATGCGTGAAGGCTCCGGATCAGGGTGAATGAATGCCTAGAGGTTTGGGCAATTTAACTTGGTTTTGTCAGGGGACCCTATCTCCCTGAGTTTTTAGAGGAGGCTAACAATAGGATGGGTCTGGTTCAGTGGAGCTGCAGCCTTGGCTTTCAGAATGAGGCCGACTCTAGTGGAGAACTCAAGGCCAATCCTGAGCTGCTCTGGCATCATCTCATCCCCAGCACCCTCTCCTTCCCCGCAACTCCCAGCTTTGCAACTCCCAACCTTGGCATGTAAAATCCTCCCCCTTCCCTGTGTCCCTGATGCCTAAGCCCAGACACCAACTCTCAGTGGGGCTCAGAGCTCTGGCTTTCTTATAAATAAGCCAGGAATTATGCCATTATGAGGTCATTGTAAGGACAAAGAGACCAAGCCCATAAACAAAGCATCTTGCAAAATAGCTAGTAGGTGTTAGACCCTCACCCCTCTTGCTGGTTAAGTGAAAATATTCCCACTCAGAAGATCAACAAAAGATGTTCATTGAAGTTCATTAAATAAACCTTAGTGTGTAACAGTTCGGGCCCCAGGATTTCCGATCTCTGTTTCAAAAGATAAGGGAAAGCCCCTGTCTCCAAGATTAAAATTCAGATCCTTACCAGAGGAAGAAATTACAGAAATGCATTCCCAGTTAAACTCTGAGATCTATATCTGCAATCTGTTGATAATTATTCTCCATGACATACAGACACAGATGCAGCCACACACACAAGTATTCTGTAGGGGCACAGATATTTTATAGAAGACAAAATGTATATTGGGCAAAAGAAGATCACATGAAAATAAACTAAAATCTTTTCAGCTTCCAGGACCATTGGAAGACTCTCCTGAGCTGTGATGTCATGGAAAAGCATCCAACATGTTTTATACTCCCTGCCCAGTACTTCCTCCTCTCCCTCTCATTTCCATAGTATTTCCCTTAATAAACATTCACAGTCATATCTGTCTGGGCATCTGCTTCCTGGAGGGCCGGTTCACACCCCAGGGTGTCCCAGGTATGACTCATCATACACTGTTCAAATTCAGGTAGATACTGCTTGCTGGTCACAGAAGCAGGGATACCCTTTGGGTAGTGTTGACTGGGAGGGGCCCAAGGGGGCCTGCTGGGGTGGGGGAACATTCTGTATCATACCATGGTCATTCATTCTAGAAATGGTCACTGTGTGCCTAGTGGCTGCCAGTGGTGCCTTGTAAGCAGATAGACAGGCCAGCTTTTCATGATAGGGAATAGAAGGGGGCCCAGCAACAGCTGTAGAGACAGTGAGGAAGCCCCGAAGAGGCTCAGGGTTTCTCAGAGCCCCTTTCCCACTGAGCCAGCTGTTCCCAGGAGCACCAACTCCAGGCAGCTCTGAGGCAAGCTGAGCAGGGAGCAGACATTTCTCAGTAAGTCCTCTGCCCCCCACCACCTTTCTGTAATTTTTTAATTATTGCACCTGTACACTTGTAACCTGCACCTGTGCCACCCCCCAGGCCAATGTAGAGTGTATCAACCGGTGCCAAAAACCACCTGTCCTGGCTCCATGCTTCACTGCCACCAATGGCCATGAGCATGGCCATCAATTTACACCTCTTTGTGGTACAGTGATGATGAATCTTGACAGTGACAGCTTTTTTCAGAATGGGAATCAGCAGAAGCTACAGAGACCTCTTTCTGAGCATCAGAAGACTTACTGGGAGCCCCTCTGGGAGCTGCCATCTCTTCAAAAGGATGGCCTCAAGCCTCCTGCCTTGGCCAGTCTGACAAGCCTCCTGAGACAGAGGCACTCTCAACAAAAAGTGTCTGCAAGCCTCCAGCCTCCACTTGAATGAAGGCAGTTACCCCAATGAGTTATTTCCTCTGAGCTTGAATAACAAACTGAAGAAAGAGGTCCTTAGCACAATGTTGACGCCCTGCCTTGCCTGACTGCTGGAGCTGGAGGCTCCCAGTCACAGGTGTTTCATACTCATTATTCAACTGTAGCTTAATATTTGTTATGAACAATTTTTCCTTGTTGGATACATTTTGAAATTTTTCATCTAAGGGGTTACTGAAAATGTCTAGTCCCATGAATATCAAGAATATGGTAAATATATGGGAGAGAGTACCCATATGTAAATTCTGAAATAATTATGGAATTTATGTATTTGAGGAAAATCTCATAGCAATAATTAGGTAGAATTCACAGGGAGGCAAGTATTTAATGCAAACACTATAAAAAAACAGACAAGCAGAGTATAGTTGTGGTGTGCACCAGAAAAGTTAGGGTGGAGATGAAAGGGTGCTGAAGAGTGTGGTTGAGGACTGTAATTTAAAGTTGTTCCAGGAAGGACCCACTGAGAATTAGGGGGTATTAGTAATTATAAGATGGAGAGCAACTGAATAGTTATACAAAGAGCAAACACAGGCTGGGTGCAGTAGCTCACGCCTGTAACCCCAACACTTTGGGAAGATGAAGAAGGTGAGGTCAGGAGTTCTAGACCAACCTGGTCAACATGGTGACACCCGTCTCTAATAAAAATAAAAAAAATTAGTTGGTGGCGGGTGCCTGTAATCCCAGCTTACCCGGGAGGCTGAGGCAGGAGAACTGCTTGACCCTGGGAGGCAGAGGCTGCAGTGAGCTGAAATTGCACCATTGCACTCCAGCCTGTAATTTGTTGTAACATTAAAATTTGGCTTCCGTTTAGTTCCTACTAAATGAAGTATTAGGTCGGTGCAAAAGTAATTACAATTTTTGCCATTACTTTTACTTGCAAAACTGCAGTTACTTTTGCATCAACCTGATATTAATTCATCTACTTCAGTAATTGACATATTCTTATCATTACTCTT